AACCTATTGCAATAAAACGGCAATTTCATACTTTAACCCCTAATATTTTGCAATAACCAATAAGTGTAGATATAATTATATATATTTTTATTTATTAAATCACAATCACTCAGTTACTTCCCGGAACACTGGTTGGACAAATTATTAAGAACTAAAATATAATTTTCTTTTTTACTCTTTTGAAAATGGAATGCGATAATTCTTCATTACTATTTTTATGTCCTCTGCCGCCATTGTTGGTTTAAGAACGTTCGAAGCAATTATTTATAGAAAATAATGGGAAAAAATAAATCTTGTGACTCTGCTACAAGAGAAATTATAATAAACCTGCGTGGTCGTAAGTGGTCTTATCAGAAAATTGCAGATCATTTGCATTGTTCATAAATGAAGGTGTATCAAGCCGTGAAATATTTTAAAACACACAACAACCTATGAATATTTCCCGTAAACCAAAATAAAGAAAAACGTCTCCACGAGAAGATTCAAGAATAGTAATCTCGCTAAGCAAGACCCATTTTTTTTCATTTGCCAAGAAGACAAAATGTGTTAAATTTGAATTACCTAACGTAAAATCGACTAGTCCAAGCATAGAAATAAACGGAGAAAAGTTAGACCTTGTTAATAAGCAGTCTTCTTGGGAGTGACTAAGGTAATAAACTAATGGTTTCCACATATATCTTCCCTGGCCAGCAGATTAAGCTCCGCTGCATACGCAGTCCGCAGAATACCGTGAGCTTTACTTTTTTCTTCAGTTACTTTCATAGTATAATGTCCTACGGGATTCTCATGTGGGGTAAAGCGGCAAATATTCAAACCATAATTGTATTGCAAAAACGAGCGATTCGTTCTGTGTACCGTCTAGGCTCTCGGGTTTCTCTCAGAGAAAAGTTTAAGGAGACTGATCTCATGACTGTGGCATCACAGTACATTTACTTCAATGTTTTAAATGCCCGTAAAAATATACATGATTTCAATAAGAAAGAAGATATCCATAATATTAACCTTAGACCTAAGTCCAAACTCATGGTACCACGACTTCGTTTAACCAAGGTAAACGACTCTTTTATGGGGAACTGTATACGTTTTCACAATAAGATTCTGGAGCATATATTAAGATTATCATTTCCTAAGTTTAAAAACTACATTAAAAATATTTTGATTGAAAATTCATATTACAAAATTTAAGACTACGTGTTAGATAAAGATGTATGGAAAGACGACACGGCTCCAGAATCCACAGAAATTTGATTCAAAGTGAATTCCATAGCATTTAAGTTTATTTAAAAAGAGCACCCAGAGTTTCTTGCTCGTTCTACTCAGGGAAATCAACGTAGTGAACGAGCAGTAGCTTAATGTAATGTAATGTAAATGTGACGTTTTCAAGTGTAAATTTATTTCACCTATGGAATAAATGATCTTTGACTTTGACATTCAAAGGCTCAAATTAAATAAAAAACGAAGTTTTTGGTGAGAACAATTCTCGCAGAGTATCTGCACGCACCGTTCGAAGACGCTTGGTGGAGGCACACTTATTTGGGAAAGTGACAAGGAAGATGCCCATGGTGACACCACGACATAGACAGGCCCGACTTGCGTTTGCAAGGAAGTATGAACACTGGACAGAGGCGCAGTAGAAGTATGTACTATTCTCGGATGAAACTAAAATTAACAGACTATTCTCTGATGGCAAGCAGTACATACCTTAGAATATGGCATTTAATCCAAAATATTCGAAAAAGACGGTGAAGATACGGCACGGTGGTGGAAACATTAAAACTTGGGTTTGCTTTTCTGCTTATGGCGTAGGGCCTACTAGGCTGATACAAGGTAATACCATAACAAACACATCCTTGTATGCTACCGTACGCTGATGATAATCTTTCGATAATTTGGACATTCCAGCATGACAATGACCCGAAACATACAGCCTACTCTGTTCGAAGATTCCTTGACAGCCAACTGGTTACTGTGTTGGACTGGCCACCAAATAGCCCAGATCTTAATTTAATAGAGCATCTTTGGTGTCAAGTCAAAAAGAAATTGGCAAACAGACGGTGTAGTAATGTGAACGAATGGTACGATCCGTTTTTAGAAGAATGGAACTCTATTTCACTTGAAAACTGCAAAAAGTTAATAGAGCCGATGCCGCACCGCTGCTATGCCGTTTCCACAGTCGAGGACAGGCTACTAAATATTAAACTCCTTTTTTAAATTATCATTATATTATTAAGAAAACGTTGATAAATTATTTAAAATACACCACTTCTCAAATTATTGAAATCCCTACCTCGTTCTTAATTGTTTGTCCAGCCTCCATCCTATTTCACTTTAACTAAAATTAAAATTATTGTATTTTTAACAGTATTTTTAAATATTGTTTTTTTTTTATTTAATTTTAGATTTTATTAGCCCTGAATGTGTACTAGCTAGCACTATAGTCAATATTTTCCAGTAAGGGTTATTATGTTTATTATGAACATGTGTATTTCAAAATGGTGCCGTATTATGATTATGATTTTGTATATATATATATATACACAAAAATTTGGTAAATTTTTATACAGAAAATAATTACCTATTGTTGCCGTCAATCAGTCATGTGAGGGGTTTAGAAGGGTAAGGGTGCTGGTGAAATTACAGGCACATGGGACTTATCAACTTATGACGGGCGCAGCGGCAGTGCCTCTCAGATCAAATAACTGTTATGGATAGGTGTGTCGCTTACCACCAGGCGTACGACTTGTTCGTCTCGTCACTTGGTTTTATAAAAAAAAATAGTCGCGGTAAAACCAGTCAGGGCAATAACGTTAAGGACTAGTGAAATGGACCTCAGAAATGGTAATAATTTTGCAGCAAAATGAAGAAAGACGCTGCATGTGATGGCCAGAAACGGCAATAAGAAGCTTTCACATATTGCAAAATCATACCCTTTAGGGTTTCACCGTTTTTCGTTGTAAATCTCTATCTCATTCGGGATTTTAGTGGCGCATGATACAATAGACAGTAAGTAGGACAGCAGTAGAGCTCCTTGTGAAAGAGTTTATCTAGGGAAGTAACGCACACACTCAACTTGAACTTCGTCATTAATAATTATGTTAGATAAAATCATGGACTAATAAAATAGAACTCAAGAGAACTCTGAATCTTCATATTACAGACCGGAATTGTGAAAAACACTATGTGGTCTGTGATGAAAAAGGTCAAAATTCCATCTTATAACATCTAGATGGCGCTGATCAATAGCCTGGAAGTAGTTATTACATCAAATAACTACTCTGTAATATAAATTAATAAGTATTCAAATCTTCATCACGAGCTAAAACTAATTTATGAACTTTGACAAATATGCGTGTCAATAGATGGCATTGTGTATTGCAAATAAATTTTGTATAACGCTTCCTAATATGGGTAGATGGTGCTAATCTAATTCCAAACAAAATAAAAGAAGAGAATAGTCGACACTATCCGTAAAAATATGTACAATAAGCGCCATCTAGTTGATTTGTTTGTTATCACTAGAAATTAGAGTAGCATTCATAAATTGCAGCTTGTCAATGTAAAACAAATTGTTATTTGGTACTCATCGCGACATCTGGTGTACTAATAGGTACTAAATTCCTAACCACGCTATCTGGTATGACGATTAGCACTCCTCTTGAGTTACTATGGTAAAATTTAAACAAAGTAAACCAGTTTGCATCGATTTTTGTCTAGGGTGGTAATGTTGCTACGTTCGGCCACAGAGGCAGATGAAAAGCTAAATGAGAGCGGCTAGCGTGTGAAATGATTATAGTATTCCCTGACAATCTGACTTGTACTCATATGATTTTTGGGTAGGTATGCTATTTCCTCGACCACACATTCAGCCAGGTAATATTGAATGCTTCTGTATTCAAAAAAACGAAATTAAATGGGAAAAGGCCCGATGGAATGACTCTGGTGCCGTGGGAGAGGGATAGGTGTCTCCTGTGGGATGCGACATATGTTAGCATATTTGCAGCTTTGCATCTCAGTGGCACAGTGACTTCAGCTGGTGCAGCTGCTGAGTCCGGTGCTCGCAAGGAACGAGACAAATATCGTGATTTGGAAAGTCGCTACATTTTCGTTCCGCTTGCTGTTAAGACGGCGGGTTGTTGGTGTAGCGATGCGAAAAAGTTTGTAGCGGAAATTCGGCGACGGCTAAAGGAGAGTGAAGATAACTCCCGCGCCGGGTTGTTCTTGGCGCAAAGATTGTCCATTGCCATACAGTGAGGAAATGCGGCAAGCGTCATAAGCACCTTTGCGCCGGGATCAGTCAGGGGCGGGCTTTTTCACGAGTGTGAGCACTGAACCATGTAATTTGTAATTTCTTGACTTATTCAAATTATTTGTTATTCATGACTTTACTACGTATTAAATTTAAATAGATTTCATCAATGCATAAATTTCTTGTAATAATAAAAAACTATTAGACTATTTTCATTAAAATTGAATTTGTATGAAAATCGAAATGTGTAATTGCTACTTCGGTACTACAACATTTTTTAAGTATTGTAACGTATTCCGTAGGAGAGTAGTGGAAATTCGAAATTTTAATTCCTAAATTCTTACAATACTTACTTGCTTTAAAATAGCCTCTAGCTGTAAACTGGGTTAGCGGTTAACAATGTGGGTCGATTTCCGTCAGGACTTTTTTTCATAAATTCTAATAATGTAATAAATTTAATTCTAAGTTACTGGACGAACAAAAAAAAAAACAAAACGAACTTGTGTGACTGGTGATAAGCATTACGCCTGTCCATAACAGTTGCAGTGCCTCTCATTGCTGCTGCACCCGTCACATTGAGACATATGGCAAAAAGTGCCATGTGTCTGTAATTTCGCTAGCACCCTTACACTTCAAAACCGGACGCAGTAATGCTCGCATTATTTCTTGGCGGCAGAAATATGTAAAGTGGCAGTACTACCCAGGACTAACTCTTTCACATGGAACTCCTCTTACTAGATAAAACTTTACTTTCTGATCTTAGTATCATAATGAACTACTCGTATTAACTATCACTATTTCTGGACAGTGGTGTAATATGTTAGCTATAAACCAACTAGTTGGTAGTTGCTTAAGAAGTAAAAAAGTTATCTGAACGATGAGGTGATGTTGTATTTGCTTACCTAGAGAAATTACATTCATAAAAATGTACTCCCTAATAATTTTCATTGATAATGATACATTCCAATGTCTATTAAGGATATCTACAAATATTTCAATAATTAAATTGCCGCAGCGCTGCCGAAAGTGTGAAACGGCATAAGTAATAGAAACTTATCAAATAATTGTGATAACTCGTAATAACATAGCCTTAAAACAGTGTCATGGATAAAATATATATAAAGTCGTACCTTACGTTACGTAATGTTTTAGTTCTACGTTTAAGACTGACAAATAAAATATAGATACTAGAAATAGTAGAGTAGGGTAAGTAGAGTAAGCTGACTTAGCTTTTCACATAAATGTGATTCTAGGAATTTAGTTAACTACTCTGGAAGTTCCTTAATAATACATACAAAATGGTCCTTTGCGACTTCTAAACCAAACCATGAGAAATATCATACCAGCATACTTAAGTATACTGGTATCTTTATGTAAGTAGCAGTAGAGCTCCTTGTGAAAGAGTTCCTCCAGGGAAGTACTGCCACCTTATCTATTTCTGCCGTTAACCAGTAATGTAAGCGTTACTACGTTCCGGTTTGGAAGGATAAGGGTGCTGGTGAAATTACAGACACATGGGATTTGTCAACTTACGCCTCAGGGTGACGGGCGTAGTTGCAGTGCCTCTCAGATCTTTGAGATTTAAAGCTCTAACTGGCACTGCAACTGTTATGGAGTCGTGTGTCACTTACCATCAGGTGCACGTTTTCTTAGTGAAAAAGTTTTCTGTATAGGTACATAAAAACCTTAAATAACGGGCCAATATTGGTAATAAAAATTATCATTATACCAAAAATTATTCCCCCATAATCCGGCTCATGATAATTTCGATGACAATAAAATCTAATCAGCATCTTATCACATAAATGTAACCCGCTTCGCGCGTCGATTGGTTTATAATACATTCTAATTATTGGGTGATAAAAATATTGATTAACATTTTATTTATGTAGTCAGTAAAATTGTCTTCTTAGTAGGCCGCTTGGTGTCGCCGTGGTCAGAATGGGTAAGTAGCTCAATAGACTACTTCATAGCAGTATATATAGTATCTATGAATGGCAGTAATTCCGATAATTTAGTAACAAAAGACCCGTACATAGAAATTTTATGGCATGAAATGAAATTTTTCTTCTGCTTCTACGGTTCCAAATAAGAATGAAATTGAAATGTACGTTTCAATTAAATTGAACAATTAATGATGAAAAGTAATAAAAGAACTACAGACTAAATGCTTATTAGATTAAGTTGGTTTCATTAAGAGTCACTTTCAAAAAGTGTCCATAAATGGTTTCTGGTGATATTACTTCTTTTGCCCCGACCTAGCAATATTGAGCTCTAAATTTTTCTTGGATATTCATAACAATTTACACAAAAATTACATTAAAATGGGAATATACGGTGTATTGAAATACTGCATTATTATTATTAAGTATGTTAAGATTTTTATAATGTTATATACTAGTTTACGTAGTTAGTGAGTTTTTTGTAACGCAGATGCGAGGACATTATTATATCTTTTAGACATCAACGTGACCCGTGAAAATTGTGAAAGTCGTGTAAAGTAAATCAGATGTGAGACGGAACTTATCATGTTTACCATACCTTTGTTAAGGTAAATTGATAATTTGAAGTGAATATGACACGGTTTTAAAGCTAGAAGCCATAATATTAGAAAAACATTTCCAGTAACAGAAAATTTTTAAGTTGAAAGTCCAATGACAGTGAAATTAGCGACCTATGTTGATTTTATTAAATAGAGTATAAAATAAGGTGGATAAATATACTCGGGCGTAGACGATCATGCATATTACATTAATGAAAAGATAAAAATATCAAAGATAGAATCAGTACAGAGTTCTAAAAAAAACCGAGCTCAAAAGTACGTGGAACTACGTCTATTTGCTAAATTTCATTGAAATATCCCCTAGTTTGCCACTATACGGGACTTGACACAGGAGATAATAAAAATCGGTTCTCACTACTCAAAGTATATTGAGAGAGAAAAACGCCTTGAATTGGAGAATAGCAAAACTAACCATTAAAATAATTGCTCATTATGTAAAACTTAGGCGCTATTTATAAAAATGAATGTTCATGCGTGATCAGCCACCCTTAGAGGTGGATGATTTTCTTCAAAATGAAATGGGACCACTATGGAGGTACTCTCTTTCCAACAAAAAAGAGTCACGAAAATCGGTTCACAAATACTGGAGTTATCGCGTAACATCCATACAAAAAAAAACATACAGTCGAATTGAGAACCTCCTCCTTTTTTTGAAGAGGGTTAAAAAGTATGATAATAAGATTGTTAGTTGATAAATACCTCATTAACCAATTTATCGCGCCGCATTAGCGATTATATATATATTTTTTTATTTTTCTGACTATGAAGGTAAAAATGATTATTGTTATAGACTTCAAGGTTATCCCATTTTATTTATTGCCTACATAGTGATTGCGAACTTTGTAAGTTTTACATACAAAGTATATAAAGGGAAATTACTCTGTAGTTGGTGTTATGCTTATCTGTATGTCAATGCGTATCAGTTAAGATAGAAATATATTTAATATTGATACATGATATACTTAATTATACTATTTTAAAATAAATTGCAAAGGAAGTCCTTTGCATTTGACGACCTCGGTGGCCCAACATTGTGGACGCTGAATGAAGAGTTCCAATCTCTTTTGGGAAAGGATCTTTTCAAAATTGGTTCTAGTCTGGGTGTTCTGGGTGATAATGTAATGAATTAGATTTAGAAAAAAAAGCTTCGACTCATATTTCGACCCATTTTTAATTGTGTTTAAGGGTTTTATCACAATGCATCTTCAAAGCCAATTGGCTCTTCTGGAGATAAAAAGTTCATGAGATAAAACATTAGATTATTTAAGTTGCCGACTACGTTGTGATTTCATACGAATATTTTTCCTAAAAGCAGGTTCTACAATGTTCCTCCTTTTCGTCATTGGGGCTGTCGCTGCGACCCCTACGACTGAATTGCGGGCAAACATGGACTTTGAAGATTTCTCTACTAACTTGGATGATCCCAAGTACCGTCTGAAGGACATCGTGCAGCCGCTCCGCATCAATGTAGACCTGGACGTCTATCTGTCCGAGTCTCGTTTCAATGGTATCGTACAACTTGAAGTCGATGTGAGTATTTAATATGGATCCAGTCCAACTTTTAAATGAAACAGCAGGATATACTCTGTATCGAACACCAATAGAACCATTACTGCATTCTTATTATTGAAGATTAACATAAAAAAAATTTATTTCATTTTTACAGGTCACAGTCTCAGATTTAACCGAGATTGTTCTCCATCAAAAAGTGGTAGAAGTTAACACAGTTACTATAATGAATTCAGAAAATCAACCCGTCTCACTGAATAACTCTTTACCTTTCGATGTAGACGACTATTACGAAATACTAATAATAAATTTAGTTAATCCCATACCTGCTGGTATCTACACAATCACCATAGCTTACCTTGGTCAAATCAATGAGAATCCTATAGATAGGGGATTTTACAAGGGTTATTACTACGATGACAATACTCTCCGGTGAGTAACATTGACATTTTAAAGATATGTTGACTTTAAGGCGGTAAGTTACAGAACATTAAGTTATATAATTATTAAATTTTTTTGTTTTGCTATGATTGATGATTATTTGCAAAGATAAATGTCGATTTTTGATCAAATGTACATTTGATCATTTTTTATCAAATAGACATCTACGTCAGTTGAGGCAAGTTTATAGGTACCAGCTGCGGTGAGTAGGTTTCAAAAATCTGTCACTAGAAGTCACTAGCGGCAACGAATGCCGAAGGCCAGTACAAAGATCTATAACAAAAAACACATAGGAGAATTTCGACAACTCGGTCACTTGACCTGTGGCTCAGGTGGTAAGAGCAATGCATGGTCATGGGTACAAGTGCCACCGGGACGAAGAAAATTTTTTCAATGTGTTCGATCTTTGTATTCGTAATCATTAAGTTATATAATGAAAAATTTGCAGTGAATACGCAACCACTCAGTTCCAGCCATTCCACGCTAGGAAGGCATTCCCGTGTTTCGACGAGCCACAATTCAAATCACGTTTCGTTATTTCCATTACACGTGACAGTGCTCTGCAACCATCTTTCTCAAATATGGCTATCAATGACACCCAGGTGTAAGTACTATATTTATTAATAATTCATTTATTTGTAAAAACACACGTTATGTAGAAGCTGATATATACAAATTAAGTATAGTTTCACTGTATTCGGCTAAACATAAGCATACAACTATTGAAGGTATATTATACATTCACTCACATGCACTTCGACAGACTAAAGCAGGTGTAACATGTTTCTTTTTTATTTATGTTAAAGTCAGTAATTTAAACGCGGTGATAGTTATATGGGTCAATTTTAATGATAACTCTATGTCATAATAATAAAAGCAATTTGAATAACGTCAAAATAAATATACAAATGTAATAAATTGGACAACGCATTTGAGAATTTGTCATTTCTAATTCGGACACTCTATAACTATATTTTATAAGTCAATTAGTTGTTTAATTGTTGTTTATTATTATTGTGTTTTATAGTTGTTTTTTATTTACTCAAAGTCTCGTTTTAGTTTCTTATTATTACAAACACTATATAATTGCGGCCTAGAACATAAGTACGTTGACCGCGTCACTAGTAGCCGTCGGTAAATCCTCGAGGTGTGCCATTGTTTGAATCGAACCGCACAGGCATACCAGGTCAAACCTTATAAAAATGCTCACCCGATCAAATTGACCCTGGGGGTCTACTCTCGATCTCCGTCTGACATCAGTCCGAAACAATTACAGCCAAATAAGCAATACTTGACCAAATGAAAAGACACGTGATGCGAATGAAGCTTCATACTGGATACTTGTCTTTTAATTTTGTCGAATATTACTTATTTGACAGTAATTGTTTCGGACGGATGTCGGACGGAGATCGAGAGTAGCCGCCTGTTCCGTAAACCTGAATCCAAACCGTATTAAGTCTTTCTGAGGCGCCACTACTAATCGACGCGCCGCTGCAAGGATGAAGGCGGCTTTACAAAAGTAAACAGCGCTCTTTGGCGTTAGAAGTTGCATCTCACCTGAGCCAACTCAATACTCAGTGGATCGCCACATTTGTTGTTTTTTTGAGTATACTGTAACATTTTTCTTTTTTAGGGTCTCCCCTGGCCGCATTAGAGAAACTTTCCTACCTACTCCCATTGTATCTGCCTACCTAGTGGCGTTCCACGTGAGCCATTTTATACCTACCGACTATTCTGGCAACCCAGAAAAACAGTTCGGCATTGTCTCAAGACCGAATGCTCTTGACCAGCATGAGTACGCGGCTGATATTGGTTTTCGTATTACCGAGGAACTCAGCACCTACTTCGCCATTGATTACTATGACATGGGACAAGGTGAAACAATGAAGAATGATCATATTGCATTGCCGGATTTCCCGTCAGGTGCTATGGAAAACTGGGGAATGGTTAACTACAGGTAAAAGTCACAAGTAACTTGCTTAATATGATCATGATCATTCATTAAGCAACACTTATTTATAACTTTTCAGGGAAGCATTTTTGCTGTACGATGAGGATAACACGAATATGCCAAGTCAGCTAACTATCGCTTCAATAGTGGCGCATGAATTAGGTCACAAATGGTTCGGCAATCTTGTAACCTGTTTTTGGTGGAGTAATCTCTGGCTTAATGAATCCTTTGCTAGTTTCTTTGAATATTTCGGTGCTCATTGGGTAAGGGAAATCTATCTATTTATATAATATTCAAATACAAAATAAAACGCGATGTATTTCGCTCGAAATCGCATTCGCCTAGAGAACGTAGAGTATTCGCACTTTCCATCAGGCGCGGTGCAGTCATTTTGCCGAGTCACAAAAAAAAAAAAAAAAAAAGAACAGTCGTTGCTAGCAGTCAGGTATATGTAAGTGGGTTGTTACTGTCCAATGTTTTTAGAGAGATGCTTTCTATGCGTGTTTAAGGAATTTGTCTGAAATGTTTCAGGCCGACAGAAGTTTAGAATTAGACGATCAGTTCGTAGTCGACTCCGTTCACAGCGCGCTGAATTTTGACGCAGGCCGAGGAGCCACTCCTATGAATTGGTCTACCGTTGCAAACAACCCATCCGTGACTGCTCACTTTAGTACTGCCAGCTACGCTAAGGGAGCTTCGGTGCTCAGAATGTTGGAACATTTCATTGGAGAGTTCAATTTTAGAACTGCCTTGCGGTACTATCTCAGAGATAAGTGAGTTCTTTGATTTGATTTGTTCATTTTATTTTATCATTGTTATTTTATGATATACTATTTTTGATCATTGTTATTGTAACTCACAAGGCTTGCCAGCTAAATTCCATACTTATCGTTTTTCAGCGCATATAAGATCTCAACACCAGCAGACATGTATAGTGCATTTCGAAGAGCTGTATCTGAAGATCGTACCTTTGTGAATCGATACCCCGGTATCGATATTGGAAATGTTTTTGACAGTTGGGTACAGAACCGTGGGTCTCCAGTTTTGAACGTTGATGTGAATATGGAGACTGGCTTAGTTAATATAGAGCAGGTGAGCTGAACGTTTCTACAATATTTTATAATATTATATTCCTGTATAAGCACATGATGATATTGCCCAACTGATTCTTTGAATGATTGTTCCATGACTAAACCTAGAACTAAATTTAGATATATTTTCATTCCTATAAAATCAAATATTAAAACATTCCGACATCTCATGGGCTTACAGCGATACGGTAGCGCTTCTGGCATGTTTATGCAAGCTCCTATTGATACGTTCTGTGCTATCGTGGTACGTCATCGTATTATTTATTTTATGGAAAGGATTGGACAGAGCAATGGCTTAATGCGAGAGGTGTTTGCTCGCCTGACTCCGAAAACTGCCATTGACGTCTAAAATTGCTATGTATGTCGAGGTTGACGGAATCAAACTTATTTTTAAAATTATGAATTTTATTGAATTGTATTTTCCTACTATAGTCTATGGATTTAAATAAACAATTATTATTATTAATATAAAAATATATAGTATACTCATTGACTTTATTTTATGTTTTATCAGGATTATCTTTAGTAGTTAAAAGGGGATATAAAATATAAAACTAAACAGTTATTTGTCATGTGTATTTCTGTACAGAGGAATAAAAACCGTTACTTACCTAGTTCTACGCGAGCGAATTCGAAGGCAAAAGTTAAAAATGTATAATTGTGACAATTCAATGCGTAATAAATTTCATTCATAAAAAAAAATAAGCAAATAAAAAGGTTTTTACTCATCAATCACATATCCTATGAGGTTACTTTGTTTTCCATTACTGTGGACGAAAAAGGACAACTTCTCGTCTATATACTGTTGTATTTCAGCCTCCACTTGTATTCTGTTGGTCATTGACGGAACTACACTTTTGAAACACGAATCCCGGCTTGTTAACCAATTTTAAAATAAATAAAAGGTTCTCAATTCGACTGTATTTTTTGTATGTATGTTACACGATTACTGCGATATTTGTGAACCGAATTCGATTATTCTTTTTTTGTTGGAAAGGTGGAACCTCAGTAGTGGTCCAATTCCAATTTGAAGCAAATATTCTACCTCTAAGGGTGGTAAATCAGGGGATGAATCCAGTATATCGGATTTCACTCATTTTCCGTTAATTGATTTCAATAAAACTTGGCAAATGGATGTAGTTCCACAAGCTTTTGAGATTTTTTTATAAAAAAGGTATTATTATTTTCAGGAGCGTTTTGTCCTTTGGGGTGAAATTGATAGCCCTATTTGGCAAGTACCTGTATCATGGACGTCGGGGCAAAACCCCAACTTCCAAAGCACTACACCAGCTTTCGTCATGACTGAACGAACCATGAGTTTTAATTCTGCTCCTGGTCATTTTTGGGTTATCCTAAACATAGCGCAGTCTGGTAAATAACATCACTTACAAAGGGTTTTCCAATGTGGACATAACAATTTTGTATTTTAATAAAACACAGAATAAGTAATTGAGATATCGAACATTTATTAATGCATTACATTTAAGAATGGAATTGGATCTCGTTCATTAGACCACAACGTGCACGTTTGCAGCAGGCACACAGCTGGTCGAAGTTCGATCGTGTAATCTCGCGAAACGATCCGGTCGAATGGCCTCGTTGCTCTTAGGATCTAACGCCGTTAGATTATTTTTGTGGGGTTACGTTCAGTCGTTGGTTTATTCCAACAAGCCAATAATGTTAAATGAGCTCAAGAACAATATCAAACGCGAAATTGGCAACGTTTCGGCCGATATGTGTGGAAGACTGGTGGAAAATTGGCTCGAAAGATTTAACGCTGCAAACGTGCTAGCAGTGGTCATATGAACAAGATCGAATCCCATTCTTAAATATAATATGTGCACTCCACCTGGAATAAATTGCAGCTCGGTGTCTGATTTATTCTGTCCTTTATTGAAGTACAAAATTGATATGTCCCTATTAAAAAGCCGATAGTAAAAAACACAAGAAGAATGTACCTTTTCATTTTAGGTTTTGACAATATAAAAATATGGTTTCATTCGATTTGCAGGTTTGTACCGAGTTAATTACGATGACCACAACTGGGAAATGCTTGCTTCCGCTCTTCGTAGGCAAAGGACTGTCTTTCACAAGTTGAACAGAGCTCAGGTAAAAAAAATTACGAGACGTTGTTAAAATCGTAAGTTCGACCATGTAACGATGAATTAATATGCTACTTTTATGTATATCTTCAACGTTATTTTTTCAGATCGTAAACGATGTTCTTTATTTCCTCCGCGCTGAAAAAATCACATATGAGCGCGCGTTTGATGTTCTCGACTTCTTGGCACAAGAAACTGACTATTATGTCTGGGCTGGCGCTCTCGGTCAGCTGGAATGGTTCCGGAGAAGGTTTGAGCATTTGCAGCCCGCACACGAGGAATTCTCCGTAAGTATTTATTTTTTAATATTATTTATTTTATCATCTAAATGTGCTAATGGATTGAATATTGATAGCAATAGAGGTCCGTGTGAAAAAGTTCATCTAGGGAAGTACAGGAACCCTTATTAAATACCTGACCTATTTCTGCCGCCAAGGAGTAATTTGAGTATTACTGCGTTCCGGTTTTGAAAGGTAAGGGTGCTGGTAAAATTCAGTCAAATAGGTAATTTAAAGCTCTGACTGGCACTGCAACTGCTATGGACAGGCGTCTCGTGTTATAAAAAAAAACAACAGGACTAGTTGTGCTATTCGCAAAACGTATGCGCATTTATTCCCCATGTTTCAATTAGGTTAGGTAACCGAATTTGTTTCTTCTTTTAGTTTTATAAAAATATTTTGTTGAGATATAAAACATACTTATTTTACTGTTTGCAGAGATACTTGCTGAACACCATGGAGACGGCAATAACTAGTGGAGGTTATGAAGATCGTGATGGCGATGAAACCAATGTTATATTGCAACGCATGCAACTCCTGAACTACGCCTGCAACACCCTTAATCACGAGGGTTGTGTTGATTATGCTAAGGAACGTTGGGCGCGGTTCAAAGAGAACCGTAATGAATTGTGAGTTATGCTCCACTTTTGTCTACATATATTAGAGAAACGATATGAAATACCTGTGTCTATACTCTGGTCAACTTCGGTATAGAATGTTTAATAACAAAACGTTTCGAGACAACCAATGAAAGTAATGTAGTTAAGTAAAGAACATTTTGCTGTCAATCTCATTATTTAGGCTAGCTTTGTCTGTTGTTTGTTTGCTCAATTGGAATTTAAAAAGGTAAGTAGGCAATTGGATTGTGTGGATTTCCACATTTTTTTTTTAGTGGCGGAAGGAACAAGTCGAGCGCCCGATGGTAGGCTACACGCCTGTCCGTAACAGTTGCAGTGCCACTTAGGGCTTTAAATCGCAAGATCTGATGAGCACTGCCACTGCGCCCGTCGCCCTGAGACATAAGTTGACAAGTCCCATGTGCCTGTAATTTCACCAGCACCCTCACCCTTCAAAACCGGAACACTGTAATGTGACATTACTGCTTGGCGACATAATCCCATTGCCTATATTATACATATATACTTACCAAGCTAAATATTGGAAAATTTGCAAAGTACCTTTTGACACATATTATTTATAATAAAGTAATTAAGTATATTGTAGGTTTTTACCTAGGTTAGGTAGGTTTTTACTTATTAATACTTAATGCTAGAAAAAACTGCCCTCAAAAGATTGCTTATCGGCTTTTTTATTGGAATTACACCTACTTACCAAGTTTTATTGAAGTCGGTTAAAGGAAAGTGCGCTAAACCGGATTCATCACCTAGTTTGCCAGCCTTAGAGGTGTAACATTTTCTTTAAATTTAAATGGCACCAATACTGAGGTACCCTCTTTCCAACAAAAGAGAGTCATCAAAATCGGCTCACAAATGCCTCAGTAATCGCGTAACATACAAAAAAAAAAACAAAAAGCAATCGAATTGAGAACCTCCTCCTTTTTTGACGAATAATATTATCAATACCCCAGAAATTGTAGAAACTGTAAAATGGCCAGAAGTGAAAACTTTAAAAGTCATAGGTATGTTTTTGTTTGTTCACATTTATTCTACATCAAAATTGACTAGAGTACCTCTATATTATAGAATCAAATGTATAATGGATATTTTTCAACGGTTGAGGTCACATTTTCTATTTTCTATTCATTATGTTATAAATTACAATTTTATTTTTTTAATTATAATTTAATTATTTGTTTTTTAGAATATTTATTATTATTTGATTAGGGTACCTAAGAATGCTCGTCGCTATGTGTACTGCATAGGACTGCGAGAGGGAGATGCCAGCGACTACGAATTCTTGTACCAGGTCTACAATTCTTCACAAAATGCAGCAGACATGGTTGTCATTCTACGCGCACTCGCTTGTACCAAGGACGAAGATTCAATAGTTCAGTAAGTTAATCGTAACAAACTAAAATTAAGTTGGAGTTTGAGAAAGTTTGAAATTTACCATGAGCTTTTTGGTGAAGAAAACATCGTTATACTCTTTCTCTCCGCTAGAAAAAGTATGAAGTCCCCAGCTCGCATCGAGACCCGTGCTCAGCAACGGAACTTATAAATGGGTTGGTGATGATGAGTTAGAAAAGAAATTAAATATTCAACAAAATACTCCCCATGCAACGTTGCTTTATAGAATATATTATTATGTTTGAGAAAAAACTACTTTAAAAGTTTGTACTATATTTTATTTGTCTGAATATTTCATCTCTCTCGTTTTATGTAGTGTATGTGAATATACTCTATACTAGCAGTAGAAATGACGACGAATTCGTGAAGTGTACGTAGTCCTCCAAAACAGAAGCGACCATATTGCAGCGGTATAAGGTTTACTTTAATTTGTTGCACCAAGAAAATATACAACGAAAATACGACTTAATTATGATATATATATAAACTCTACTATAGATAATATTACAAGTGCGACTACCTTTTTTTGCACTCCAGAGTAGGGAAAAAGACATTTTTCTACAATTTTTATTACACTACTTACTTACACTATTCAGAAATAGTTCATGTAGTCAAACAAATATAATAAACTTGCTAAATATGAAAATATAATCGCATGTGTTTTGACATAAGCTTTCCGTAATTTTGTCTCTGAATTCGTATTAGTTTATTATTTTAAGAGAAGATGATGGTTGAGAAAGGGTACGTGTTACAAAATATTCAATAAATGCATGTTCTAATTCCAGTTACCTCGAGCAGACCTTGTACAACGACAAAATACGAATTCACGATAAGACTAACGCCTTCAGCTTTGCACTGCAAGGCAACCCGGAGAATTTGCCGCATGTTCTCAATTTCGTCTACACTCGATACCAAGATATTATCACATGGTGAATAAGTGTTATTGCAACTTTATGAATAAAGTATATAGTGTGGAATGCATAACTAAGCAATTGATATTTTTCTGAAAATTTAGATTATTAGTAATAAAATGCATAAACCTTCTAAGTTTGTCATTAATATTTTTTCTAGGTATGGTGGTGCTGCGAGACTTAACATTGCACTCAATAGCATTACAAACCATTTAACTGATTTTGAAACTATTCAAGAGGTAAGCACACAATAAAACAATTACATAGGTACAATCCCATACAATTCCCATGTAGATCAGTTCGGTATTGCTAGCGTTAGTTAGAAGCATGCAGCTCTAAATCTTTAATTGCGTTAAATTAAAGGGTTAATGTCGATTCTCGGGAGAATTATATTACCATACAACCGATAAACAAAATAAATACAACAAAACATAATTTTAGGTTATTTGGTTTTAATTATAAGATATGAAATTTTGTTTCAGTTCCAAACTTGGTTATATGACAACCAACTATTCCTGCCTGAATCATTCCAAACTGGTAGAAATGTAATAAGCACAGCTATGGACAACCTGGAATGGGGCAACAGCCTCGCGCTAGGCGTTTTCAATCAAGTCAGGCAAAGAAATTCTGCAACTGTTGCAAATACCTCTATTGCTCTTTTAATCGCCGCTGCAATAGCTCATTTGTTTTATAATTAATTGATTGTAGAATAAGATATAACCTGACCTGTAATTTCGCCCCAAGTATTCGTGTTTTATCGTTCGTTTCCTCGCATTGATGAAAGTGTTTAAAGTTGGTCATCTTGATATAATATTTATGTGTTCTGTTTTGCATCACATCGTTAAATCCAGATATGAATAGTTTCGATTGAACGCACAGTAAACACAGTTTAATTGTTTTTAACATCGCCTTTTTTATAAAGAAAGCGTTGGCCATCTTATATTAAGTTATTGTAATGACATTTTACGGCTCGTGTTTTTTAAAATAAATTTACTTTATTAAAATTTATTGATTGCTTTTATTTATAGCAATATCCACCACTTACACGACGATAGCAAACATGGCCCCCATGTGCTCGTCAACTCGGGTAGCGGGTGACGAGAGTCGGATAGAAAATGGAGTCAGGGTCCCTATTCTCGTAGTACGAAATTCGTAATTACGACCGTTTTCGTACTATGGATGATCTACAAACTTGAGTTTCGATCAGATGACAACGCGATTTGACGATTTCGAACGGGCTCATCTTCGCTGACGGACTTCGAGAGTAGTTCCTTAGGGCATCCATAGTGGAAAAACGTCGTAACTACGGATTTCGTGCTTCAAGAGTAAGAACCCCAGGGGTGCAAAAAAACTCTCGGCGTGACTTAGCCGTAGCAGTAGTAGCAGTAGAGCTCCTTATAAAAGAGTTCGTCCAGGGAAGTACTGCCATCTTACCTATTTCTGCCGCCAAGCAGTATTGTTAGCTCTACTGCGTCCCGGTTTAGAAGGATAAGGGTGCTGGTGAAATTACAGGCACATGGGACTTGTCAACTTTATGTCTCAGAGCGACGAGCGCTGTGACAGTGTCCCACAGATCTTTGCGGTCTGAGTGGCACTGCAACTGTTATGGACAGGCGTGTAGCTTACCGTCAGGCGCACGACTTGTTTGTCCCGTCACTTGATATTATAAAAAAAAAGCCTCCGTTTAACGACCTTGGCACATGTAGCTAATACGACAACATGACGTAAAATATGAAAACGCTAGATATAAAATCAAAAATTACAACCACGTTGAGGCGATAGACGCTGGTTCGAGTCCAGTCTGGTCGAAGGAATAGTTAATTTAGTTGTGTTTGGTCGATCTTTGTATCAATAATAATTGAGAAAAGAAAAATAATCTTAACAATTATAGATAGATTATAACTATCCGAAATTACATGAAACTATAAATAAATAAGTCCAAGGCCGTGTTACTGTGGCCTTATGTTATTACTTACTTAAAAACAGCTAAATAAATTATAGCCAGGAGTGTTGGGTAGGTGAGCAATATACGATATAGAAAAAATATAAATGGAACAACCATTTACATTGAATTATGTTTTGGTTTTTTAATACCGTAGAGGCGTATACATGGGATTTAACCTGTAAGAAAGGCAACTCATTCTTAATGTATTTCTGTATATTTATACAATACTAGATCGTCTAAATTGTACAATAGTTTCTTTACAGTATTAGATAATTTAAAACTCTTGTATTTTTACATGTAGTTACAATGATGCATACACAAATATTATTAGATAAAAGAATCATCGTTTGAAAATTTCTTCTAAAAATTATGACAATTATAAATTTTATTTGACTAAGCATCTAAGAATGACCGAGTTATAAAAATAACTCGGTCATTCCTGGACACACCGAACCAGTGTTCGGTACCTAATTTCTGTGGCAATTTATATTATTTAAGTATCGAATACCAACGCTCAGTTTTTGTCTCAAGAAAAACTTATGATATTAAGAGGGAGCATGCCAAAAAAGTTTTGCCGTTGGCTCCGCCCAAATGTGTGAAACAAATATATGCCTGAAGTTCGTGACAAGCAACAGGAGATGTTGAATTTTGCGCATTAAAAGTACCAAATTCGTTTTAGCGGATTAACTCTAAAACTAAAGGGATTAAAAAAAATCCGTAGTGTAGTAGTTCTCGATCATGCATAAATATAATTAATTATCTAATTTTTATCCTAATAACCTGTAGCATTTCGGTGATGAATCGAAAAAATGTGAAAATTAGAGGTCATTTCGTGATTTACCTATCGAGGAAACTTTATTGTCTTATGTTTAGTGTAGTGTCTATGCTTGAATATATCGTGTAGTTACTCATAGAATATTTTATTTTTAACTTTAAAGTGGATATACCCCTCTAAAATCAAATCGAAGATTAGGAATTTTTCCTCTGCTCCCTCTTAAAGAACAGCACTTTTTGTACCAGGAGGACAATGTTTTTAAATCACGAAATGATACAGAATTTTGTTTAAGCCGTGGTAACCTAATGGTTTGACCTTACTGCCTCTCAAGCAGAGGGTTGTGAATTCGAATCCGAGCTCGCACCTCTGAATTTCGAAAATTTCTGTATGCGAAATTCGATTTGAAATTTATTATGAGCTTTTCGGTAAAGGTAAACGTCGTGATGAAACCTGCACATCGAAGAAGATTCACAACCCTCGGAAAACGTGTGAAGTCCCCAGCCCGCATTGGGCCAGCATGGAGAACTAATAAACTAATCTAACCTAAACTCTCGTCTGAAAGGAGATGCCCAGCAGTGGGACATATAAATGGGTTGATGATGATTATAGGATAGCACTTTTTGTACCAGGAGGACAATGTTTTTAAATCACGAAATTATACAGAATTTTGGTCCGTTAAACTTTGTAAGAAGAAGATTTTTTGTGCATTAGTAATTTCAGATAAACTTTATTCAGCCATTCAAAGGGGGAACGCTGCCACCACCTTTGGCACCTTGTCGCGGGGATCTAATTTTATTCATATAATTTAAAATCCTAGTTTTACTTTTTAGTATTTAAGCTTTTATTGTACCTTACATCAAAATAAAAAATATATAGTCGATATACTTTTATTTACGTATTTATACCTTATGTAACTTAATTTATTATATTGCATAGAAATCTTTTGAGATTTCTATGTTGTATGTATTTAAGTTGGTGGAAATTTGTAAATGACATTAGATTACTCATATTTAAGTATACAATAATTGTACTATTTGTCCGTGAATTTTCCTATAATGTATAAATAAATAAATAAAAATAAATAAAGGAATAAGTACAGTCCGTGAATTTTCCTAAAATATATAAATAAATTCTAGTAGCAATAGAAGCTCCTTGTTGAAGAGTTCGTCCAGGGTAGTACTACCACCTTACCTATTTCTGCCGCCAAGCAGTAATATCAGCATTACTGTGTTCCGGTTTTGAAGGGTAAGGGTGCTGATGAAATTATAGGTACGTGGGCCATGGGACTTGTCAATTTATGTCTCAGGGTGACGGGCGCAGTGGTAGTTACCCAAATATCTTTGCAATTTAAAGCCCTGAGTGACACTGTAACTGTTATGGACAGACGTGTAGCTTACCATCAGGCGCACGACTTGATCTATATATGTATATGATCTATGATCTGTATATGTATAAAATTTGCTCTGGATCGTCCGTTTAGTTCACGATGCCACCGATGATTACATAGTGTATACTAATATTTATGTTTCGTGTTTAAGGTGCGATGCCTTGTCTATTTTCGAATATTGTATACCTATACTGTGTATATTTATTTTAGATATTCGATTTAACACGCCAAAATTATAAATGGGCAATGATTACGAAAATGTTTGAAATTACAACAATTATCTAAAACATGAAATAATTGATAATTTTACTTTTATCAGCATATTATTGTCCTGTTGCCTGATAAAGGGATTCAATAATGGTAATAAATAATAAGATAACATAATAATAACTTCAATATATGTATATACCGACTCATTATTTGAAGGCCATTTTTCATATCAGGTAGGTTTTTTATATTTTGTCAAAAAGTAATTCATCCACAAAACGTTAGAATCACTTTAATCAAATTTGCTTATGTTTGTGTAACATTAAAAACCTCTTTTTAAAAAAAGTGAATTTTGCTAATAAAAGTGTAGATCATACTCATACAATTCGACGTTGATATTTACAACTCCGGATACAATTTTTATTCTTGTACTAGTGAGATGTTTAAGTGCAATTGTATTGTTCGTCATAATTAACGATGTTAATAGCAGTTGATAAGCCTTTATAGACATTTGTTTTCGCCATTGGAATATAATATTTTCATTGGAGTTAACTCCATCGTCGTGTTAAGGTTTCTTTACTTATGCCTGTATTGTCCTTCGGCAGCGTCAAAGTTAATAACTTGATACAGGTTTAAGAGTGAAGTTTTATATTTTTTTAAACATTCAGCAAGCAATGGGTGCATTTAAAAATCAACGTATTACAAAATTTTTAGAAATGTCCAAGGTTTTAATTTGGAGTCTGGTGCTGATTGTGCTAGTGGCAGCCGATGATTATCCATTGCCATTTGAACGAGACTTCCCAGAAGTTTTTCGAGGCCAAACATCTAGAAGCGGAGAGGAAGTCTACAGACTCCCGACAAATGTGCTACCTATAGAATATGACATTTTTATTGATCTTTATTTCGCTGAGAGAGCCGAAAAGCCGTTCAGCTACGATGGACGTGAATACATTATTATTCAGGTAATATTTACTTTTTGAAATCTGGTACTATTCGTGTGGTGTTATAGTATAGTTCTATAAAAACGTAAGATATATAAGTAATTAATTTTACTATAAAAACTAGATTATTATTGTGTGGTCACCGAACATTTTTTAGGCTCTAGAAGATGATGTCACCCAGATTGTTTTACATTCGAACGTGGACTATATTAGTACTATCAGCATTTTCGCCGACGGAACACCTGTACCTCTAATAGCAGATAAACCATTTGAGCTTGTACACCAATATCATTTCCTGAAGATCAATATGGTCCAACCAATGTTGGTTGGCTTGAATTACACGCTGTTTATTAGCTACTCCAGTACTATGAATGAAGGCCCAATGAAAAGGGGTATATGGCGCGGATGGTACATTGATGAAAATGACGTTGAAAGGTAGACTTTTAGTGTTCTTGGAAATTATAAACATGCAATTTTAGATTGACATGCAATATTAAAGTACGTACTTGGTTAATACCAAGTGGGTACTTTAATATTGCATGTCAATGTTGGTTCCAGGGTCTACGCAACTACACATTTCCAACCCTACAACGCAAGACAGGCATTCCCTTGCTGGGATGAGCCATTCTTTAAAGCCGTATTTACCTTGCATCTGTCTCGGTCAACATCTTATGTGGGTCGTTTCTCAAATACTGCTAGTGCCTCTGTCACCGCGTAAGTTATATGTCTAATGAATTAAATTAGTTCACATTTTTTTCTTTCCTTGAATTAATAATTATAAAGATTTTTTTCATTTTTAGACTATCTAGTGGTCGTGTTCAAGATAACTTTCTTCCTACTCCAAAAATGTCATCTTATCTAGTAACATTTCTAGTCAGTGAATCTTTTCAAGTGATCGCAGAAGATAAATCGTTCACTCCAGCCATCAGGATCATAGGCAGATCCAATGCTATTGGAATGGGAAACCATGCTTTGAACTTAGCAGTTAAAATGACTAGTTTCTTTGACGATTACTTGCAAATGCCATATGCCACATTGAACCCAAATTTGATGAACGATCACATCTCATCTCCGGATTGGGCTTCAGCTGGCACTGAGAATTGGGGGATGGTTAGCTACAGGTACTTTTAAACAATAACAGTAGTGATAATAGTGATTATGTGACCTCACTCACTAACAAACTATTTAAATAAATTGATTATATTTTCAGGGAGCTTCACATGTTCATTAACCCCAGAGAGACAGTTGTGTCTGCAGAACACTACTCAGCTACTTTGATTTCGCATGAACTCGCACACAAGTGGTTCGGAAACCTCATCACTTGCTATTGGTGGAGCAACACGTGGATTAATGAGGGATATGCTAGCTACTTTGGATACATTGCTACTAATGAGGTTACATTGAAAACAGTATTGAGTTGCGACCATATGATGTTATGTTTCGTGTTTAAGGTCAAGTCTAAGTGACATTATAATGCCTTGTCTATTTTCAGATGTTTCCGCAGTATAGGTTTGATGATCACTTTAACAACCGTTATCTTCAGGCATCACTTTCTTATGACTCTAGCGCTTCCACTGAGCCTATGAATCATGAAGTTAATACTCCAGCCCAAGTAACTGCTCATTTCGGCACTATAAGTTACTCTAAAGCTGCTTCATTTTTGAGAATGACTGTAGATATCATGACTCCAGAAACGTTTAGAAAAGCTAATCAATACTTCTTGAGGACTAAGTGAGTGGCTAAAGATTATATTACTTAATTACTACTAGTTACGGCGAATATATGGAACCTGGAAAAATAATTATATAAATAATATTTTTCTAAGTAATGTGTCCCTTTATCGAAACAACAGGATTAATTGATCGGACCACGGTCACTGGGGAAAAAATAATTTGCGATGTTTTTTTAGTGCATACGAACCTACAAATCAATACGACCTTTATGATGCGTTTATGAAAGCCATCAATGAAGATATGTCTTTGGCTCCTTATAGTGATTTCAATTTTACTGAGTACTATCGCACATGGGTTAATGAACCAGGATATCCTATCCTTTACGTCAATGTGGATCATTCCACGGGAGATATAGCACTTAGACAGGTAATAAATATAGTTAATGTTATAATTGTTGGTATAGGTAATAATTATAAATATTTGTTTACAATTTTTCGTACAGACACGGTTTTTCCTAAGTCCGTCAGCGACACCCACTGATCAAGTCTATCCAATTCCCATAACATTTTCGACGAAGCGTAATCCGAACTTTGAGACGAGAGCGCAATACATGATGGGTGTTGAGAGGATGGTGGTAACAAAAGATGCAGGAGAAGAATGGGTTATCTTTAACAATTTGCAACATGGTTTGTAAATTACAATTGAAATAATTGATTATACAATAACAAAATTTACAAAAAATACAATAACAAAAAATAAGCTGATGAATTTAGTTTTTCCAATTTATAAAGTTTTTTTTATTTTTGTATGCTGCTTAGGGCATTACAGAGTTGATTACGACACGAAGACTTGGAATTTAATTGCGGAGGCTTTATTAAATGACCCTGAGAGTATACACTATTTAAATCGAGCACAGGTAGGTACTCGTATTTATTACCTAATTTTAAATTAAAATTTTTTTTGTATATCTGGCTCACCAATCTTACGAGTAATATTAATTTCAGATTGTAGATGACGTTTTTGCTTTAATGAGGTCCGAGAAAATGACCTATGCATTTGGATTTAATATCCTAAAGTTCTTGCATACTGAAGTGAATTATCACGTTTGGGATCCCGCTATATCAGGTTTCACCTGGTTGAGGAACAGATTGAGACATATTCCTGATAAGCACGCTGAGTTTGATGTAAGTCTTCACTACATTTTTTTACTATAGTCCTTGTTAAGGTAAGGTAGTTACGAGAAAGTTTAACTAGAGAATTAGAATATATATTATTGACATTTTTAGACTGAAATATGACGGTAGAGAATATTTCATTATATTAATATTACACGAATACTTACAATTTGTTTCTCCTTGCAGGCATTCGTGTTAAGTCACATGGAACACGCTATCGATACTTTAGGCTTCGCATCTCATTCTGATGCTAATCCGACTGTAACGATGACTAGACAGACGATTCTTCATTTTGCTTGCATGCTTGGTCATAACAAATGTGTTGAGGAGTCCAGGAATAGGTTTATCGCGCTGAGAGATAGAGACGAATGGTGAGCTCATTTGCCGTTAATTTCTTTTTTGAATATAAGATTTTCATAAGGAACCTTGCAAGTGTATGTGACAGCGAAAAACTATGAATGTAAAGTAAAATAATTACAAAGTGACATTTTTAAGTTTTAAATCTTCAACAAGTAATTTAATATTCATAGAAAAGTTACAATACGTCTCCTATTTTAGATTTTCTAGGCAAACACCTCTTATCTACAGGTGGCTCACTTAAAATCTAATTTACGAACAATCTTCATATTTACGGCAATTGTTTTTCGTTTTATCTGAATACCTACGCGCAATCGAAATTAAATACTTTATTACATTGGCAACTTAATTTCAATTTTTACTGGCAATCTCTTCAGGGTTGATGTGGGAATACGTCGTAATGTGTACATGTCAGGAATCAAACAAGGCGAACTAGCAGATTTTGACTTCCTTTTGAAACGATTAGAGCAGTCTAACTACGCAAATGATCAGTTGGAAATGCTTCGTGGTCTTGGTGCTGCTCGTCAACCATATTTACTTATACGGTAAGGACATACATTACGTAGTAAGCAATGGCTTTAACATCAACAATGTCGAAAAGGATCGGTAGGTGGCTGGGGCGTTCATTAAAGAGTAGCCGCAGATATTTGCATCCGCATCCGCAACCGCGAATCAGCCGCATATTTTTAAATATCTTCTATCTGCAACCGACATCCGAATCAATCGATGCAGAGTTCTTGCAGATAAGGAAGTTTAGTAGGTCACGATAAGATCGTAGGGAGCAGGCCCTTACTCAAAGTGCGTACGCACACACACTCACTCAACATAGCCTCGCACTAGGAAAACCCCGTATCGCGGGCGCCATGGACATACACATAGACAACCACAAATTACACCCAAACTCACGAGAGAAACAAATGTAGGCCATAGAAGTATTTCTCCCGGCCCGGGAATCCAACATGGGACCTCCGCGTGGCAGTCCGGCATGGTAACCGTTCGGCCACGGAGGCAGTTAAGCCTGCGTGCCGAGCACTAGTTTCGTGTTCGTGTTCGTCCGAATTCGGCAGCATGTAGCCTGTGTTGCCTGCAGGCCTGTTTATTTTCTAAACAAAAATTCAATACAGCCTACAACATCTTCAAAAACTTTAAAGTATTAATAAATGTCGTAATATTTCTAAGCTTTCTATGTTTTGTCTCTTTTTACAATTACTTAATACAATTACATACATTTATTCTGAAAATAAAAACTCTTTTAGGAGTAACTATCTCTACATCTGCAGATTTCAACGACGAAAAATTCGCATCCGTTTCCGCATCTGCAGATGTCGTCGTGACCCACATCTGCAGCATCTCTAGTTGATTATAATTTCAATTAGATTAAAATTGTTAGGGATCTACTTATAAGTATACGATTATTATATTATATCTACTCAAGTAGTATTGGCTCATCCAGACAGAAATTGACATACTTTTTTCTTACAGTTACTTGCAGTTAACTGTGACAAAGACTGTGCGGGATCATGATAAGGCAACTGCTTTCAACTATGCACTGCTTGGAAGTCCAGAGATCGCTCATGCTGTCCTCCAGTTCGTGGAAATTGACATTGATCGTATCAGAGCTACGTAAGTTAATAAGTTATTAAATTATTACTACACGGTGGTGTTTGTAAATACCCTGGTCGTAGAGAAGTGGAATAGGAGGAAATGTTTCCTGAGTGGCCCAATTTCATATTTAGCAAAGGTTTTTATTATGGTGGTCACACCAGTGGCCGACAAGCACCACTGTTCGACCTCTTTTTCAAATTCATTTCAAATAAGATTTAGGACAAAATTTTCTATCATAGGTTACGTGTATTATTGGTTAGTGTCCGTTATTAGGTGTTCATTATTGAGAGTGTCGATTACCGGTTTGTTAATTAGTGGATTTTTGGTGTTCATTACTGTCGATCAATGGTATCATCACCCTACAAACTAAGAAATGTTGTTGGGATCATATTTATCAGAAAAGGTTTGTGTCTGTCGTATTTTTACCTTATAACCTTTCCAGGTACGTGGAGGACTCTCCCGCCCGCCCTGTGCACACTGTTCTTTCAAATCTAGCGGCATATCTTGACGAACCTGATCTAGATAAGGTAACTTAGTGCTTAGCACTTTATAACTTCAAAATTTTATTCATATTAATGGATGTTTCAACAAAAAGCATAAAGTTGAATGTTTACTATTTAGACGTCCCATTCAAATTTTAAATATGACTTGAGTATACTTATAAATACAACTTATAGTGTCTATAGGTGGTTTTAAAAGTATTAACAATATGTACGTGTAAAAACTGTTATGCCATTTTTTTATAACATCATATGACGGGTCTCTCGTCGTAGAGATACACAGTGTTCTTCGATTTA